AAAAGAGCAGAGTTTCTACCATGAAAGAAAAGGATCAAACATTCAGAATGTGAAGCCCACTATTTGCCTGGGAAGCGTGTAGCCACAAGTTTGTCTTCGTTCCTGTGAAGCGCACACTCTGACCCCGAACTGCATGGTGAAACCTGGAGATTCGTGCTCCCAATCATTCGTGTTCCCAATCAATGGAGTAGGAAGCAAAGGAAAATGGCGCCATGTTTAAAGCACATGGCGCCATTTTCCTTTGCTTCCTACTCCATTTTTGAAGTCCACTTAGAAAGAGAAAGAATGGATCACCACTGGAGTTTTTGAAGTTACAAAGAATAATCCTTTTTAAAAAGGAACAGTTCTAAGGACAGCACTTCCTCGCTGCAGGATGCAATTCTGGAGTGGAGCCATCCAGGCATTAATCAACACCTTTCAAAGTCAAGGATTCGAAGAAGACGGGTGGAATGACAACTGCTAGTTGAAGTACTTACAGCTGATTAAAGTGCAGAGATATATATAGCATAATGTTCAAAAGGAAAACAACCACTTGGCCTTAACAGAAAATAAGTGATTCACAAATAAAGAGAACAACCCCGATGTGAATGATACCATCGATACTCCCCTTCCTTTGCGGGCTCTGGGGTTAGAGGTTGAACCCTCGCAGGCTAGATGAGGTTTGGAATCCTTTGCATTTGTTGCATCAAGAGATACCACGAGGGCTAGGAGGGCTGTCAAGGAAGATAGGATAGAAACCACATCTGATCACTTCTCTTCAGTTTGCTGGTAAGGTTTCCCTGTGGAGTAGTCAGGGTCAGACACGGTAAGTGGGAGAAACAGGAATACTGATTCTCAGGAGTTGGGACGCCATGATTTGACTTGAGGGTTCTTAGCACCTTTGTGTCTTTCCTGCACCTTTCCCATACTACTTCCCTAAGGCAGTGGGTAAGCTATGAGGCTCGGTCTCCTCTCCATTAAGGCTAACAGCTGAAATATCCACAGGCAGGCAACTGCAGGGGTGACTGAAGCAGAAGGTAGTGAGCTGGAAGGTTCATGCTTCTCCCCTCAGTGGAGCAATACCAGGACCAAATGTAGCCAGGTGGTGCCAAAGCTCGTGGTTCGTTCTCTCTCTCTCTCTCTCTCTCTCTCTCTCTCTCTCTCTCTCTCTCTCTCTCTCTCTCTCCTCTTATATATTTTTATTGATTCCAAAAAGGAAGAGGGAGAAACATCAATGATGAGAATCATTAATTGGCTGCCTCCTGTACGCCCCCTACTGGGGATCGAGCTCACAACCCTGGCATGTGCCCTGACTGGAAATTGAACCATGACCTCCTGGTTCATAGGTTGACGCTCAATCACTGAGCCATGTTGGCTGGGCCAAAGCTAGTGGTTTTTCAAAAGAATCTGGGTATTTTCGTGAAACTGCTTAATTCTCAAATGTGAGCTTATTTTAAAACATTCTGGTTCGCCAAAATGCTTCTCCTTGGCTTGCATTGCTAGCAGGGCACTCATTGATTGTGGCGAAGGCTACAAGGCTGCTGGCGGGCCAGCTGGGAGGTGTGCTCAGGGCCGATTCCCAATGTCCAGCCGGGGCGCACACCCCCAGCCTTTCCGCAGTTTGTCAGCACTCACTCCCCTCCATCAGATCCCTTTCTGGGTAAGACAGAATTGTTTCCTGTTCTTGTCACTGAACCCAACCTAGGCTGACAGTTGTGAAATTGCAACTTGAAGACACACTGCCAAAGACGACGTATTTCAAACTATTCATTTCAACAACAAAACAAAAGAGAAAACATAGAACATTTATGCTTTCCATATTCAAATAAATAATCGGTATCAGCATAAATAAAAGGACCAAGAATTCCACCACGGCCCGGAGCACACAGAGGTAAGGCATGCACCAGGCTCCCACACTGGCCAGGAGAGTTGGGGGTCAGCAGGAGGCAGTGCCGCAGCCTGAGAGAACCTTATAAATTCCCAAGAGTTGAATACCTTAGAGTCTAAGGCTCAGACCAACACTGGATACCTAACTACATACAACCGCTGACACCAAAACAAACAAAACCCTTTAATTTTTGTGCTGAAAGTTCTGAAATAATTTAATAGCATTCCCAATTGACCCTGATAATGAGAACAGAAGCAAACCGTAAGTCACCACCATGGCTTCATATGAGAATTGTTTTGACCCTGCAAAGAACTTCCTGTGACTTTTCAACCATCTTTCGAGTCTATTTACATCTGAGAGCAAAAGAATGGTGTGCAGCTGGACCATGCAGATAAAAACAAACCTACCAGTTGCTTGACTAATTTACAAACCAAATTTGAACAAAGTACACATTCGTATAGGTTTACGTCACCTAAAATTTTTCTAATCCAAGGAAGCTAACCAAATCACTTTTGCAGTTCAGGCGAGCTGGATAATTTATGATGGAGCTTTATTTGATGGCCTTCCCACAGAGCTATTCAAACTGCAGCCCAGCTGAGATTTGTGGTTCACTGGTGATTTGTTCCGCTTCTCTAGACCTAGCCTGGCTGCCTCACCTGCTGCCACCTAACCTGTATCCAGCCGAGAGAGAAAGAAACACCAACAAAAAAGCATTTCTACAGAAGCTCCAAGCCTTCACTTGCCAAAGGACCGAGCTAGAATCTATAAATATGCATATATTAAAAATGAATCTACCATATCGAATGAATCAAGCTGCTAGCCTGAAGGTGGAAAATGATGTACAGTTGCAAGAAGCCCTTTACCTGCACAAATTTGATCTCGATTCTCGAGAGCTAGATTTCAACAAGAACTTGTTCAATATTTAACAGATAATTATTGAGAGTCTGTACATAGTAGTCCCTGTCCTCCAATAAAAGCCGATTATAAAACTGTGTATGTAAAAACATAAAACATAAAACAGCTAACCCCACAGACAGTGTTGTGACCTCTTTGTGAAAATATTTTCTATTTCTAGAAACAACGTTTGGGAACATTCTGTTTGAAAAGGAAAAAATGTCTAATGAATTAATTTCCTATCTAACCCACCTCAATGCTCAAATTTACATTAAGTGTTTGAGAGTCACTGTATTAGTTTCCCATTGCTGCTGTAACAAATTGTCATAATCATAGAGGCATAAAACAATAAAAATTTATTATCTTACAATGCTGGTAGATAGATGTCCTATGTTCCTTTGTGGAGGCTCTAAGGCAGAATGAGTTGTCTTGCCTTTTTTTGGCTTCTACATTCTGCCTGCATTCCTTAGCTCATGGCCTCTTCCTCCACTTCCAAAGCCAGCAACTGTCTCATCGTCAAAGTTCCCTCTCTCTCTCTTTAACCTCTGCTTGGGCATCACGTCTCCTTCTCTGACGCTCATCTTCTTGTCTTCCTCCTTTAAGGCCCCAGTGATTACAACTGACCTCTCTGAATTATTCAGGTTCCTCTTCCCACCTCAGGACCTTGAACTTAATCAAATTGGCAAAGAACTTTTGCTATATAAGGTAATATAGTCATGGGTTCTGGGGATTAGGGTGTGAACAATTTTGGGGCGCATTATTCTGTCTACTCAAGTCACTAATGTCACTCATATGAAAAGAGAGTATTCAAATATCTTTGCAGCTAGCTCTGCAATATTAACCCAGATTGCTTGCTTAAAAAATGTATTCATAAGAATTACTAAAAGAAAAAAAAAAAGAGAGAGAGAGAGAGAAAAAAAATAAACAAATGAGACTACATCAACTAAAAGGTGTTTGCATAGTAAAAGAAGCCATCAACAAAATGAAAAGAAAACCTACTGAACGGGAGAAGATATTCCTAATTGATGCATCCTATAAGGGGTTAATATCCCAAACAGATTAAGCAATTTATATAACTTAACAGCAAAAAACCCTCCAAATAATCAAATTAAAAAATGGGCAGATGACCTGAATAGACATGTCTCCAGAGAGGACATACAGGTGGTCAACAGACATATGAAAAGATTCTCAGCATCACTAATCATGAAAGAAATGCAAATTAAAACCACATTGAGATATTACCTTGCACTCATCAGAATGGTATCATCAATAAATAAAAAAACAGCAAGTGCTGGTAAGGATGTGAAGAAATGAGAACCCTTCTGCACTATTGGCAAAATTGTAAATTAATGTAGCTACTATGGACAACATTATGAAAGTTCTTAAACACCTAAAAACAGAACTATCATTTGACCCAACATTTCCACTCCTGGGTAGTTATCTGAAGAAATCCAAATACTAATTTGAACAGACATTCATTCATATGTTCACTGCAGCATTATTTAGAACAGCTAAATAGGGAAGTAATCTCGCATTCATCAATAAATGTGATATATATATGTTTTTATGTATAATGGAAAATTACTCAGCCATAAAAAATAATTATTTTGCTGTTTGTGATAACATGGATGAACCTAGAGGGTATTGTGTCTTTAACTCAGTCAAAGACAAATGCCATAGGATTTCACTTACATATGGTTGCCAAATGGGAAAGGTTTAAGGGGACAAGTAAAAAAGGTGAAGGGATTAAAAAGTACAAACTGGCAATTATAAAAATAGATATGGGGATGTCAAGTACAGCACAGGGAATCTAGTCAATAATACTGTAATAACTATCTATGGTGCCAGATGGGTACTAGACTTACCAGGGTAATCACTTTGCAAGGTATATAAATATCTAATCGCTATGTTGTATGCCAGAAACTAGTGTAATATTGCACATTAACTGTAATTAAAAAATAAATTTAAAAGTCATTAAAATAAAAATGATGAAAGATTTGTCTTCTTCCACGGAACCAAACATAATGATTAACATAAGAAAAATCAGTGGAGTTTTTCCCCTAAGGTGTATTTCTTGCCAAAGTGAAAATCAACCAACAATGTCTTACTTACGGAGCAGGTGATAGGCACATCCTGGTTGTGAGGGAAGGCATGTTTTCATTCAGAGATATCAGTCTAGTTGTGATGTTAATGTGGTAACAGCCAGTGTGGCAATTTGATCGCGCCAAGTATTTATTACCTGTTTGAATATAGCGTCGTCCTGTCGTGTGGATATTGTTCATTGACATATAAGGAAGAAGATGAGATGGTGGTCGTCAAGGAAGCAGCTTCAAACAGGGATGGTGTGCTGGGCACCAGGTCTGGCCTGTGCCGGGATCCCAGCGCTGGGGAACAGAAGCAACACACACATCGTGAATCTCCGTAAGAAATGCAGCTTTCGTGTCTATAACCATTGGAACAAGTCAAAATCATTCATTTTACACTAGGCTGCAAATTAAGTTATGAATTAACTGAGCTCCTCTGAACTGCAGCAGAAATGCAAAATAGTTCCTTGCAAACAGGTTAAACAGGAAGGAAATTGCATTAATTTACCAAGTAGCGTATGGAAATGACATTATGAATGCTCTTTAAAAAACCTAATGAAGTGATTTACTGTTTCCAAAGATGACATGCAAAGCTCCTAGGGGCTTCAGGAGATAATTCAACAGAGATTAAAGGATGATTGGCAAATGTAGAAACACAAAAGCAAATCTGATTTCCCTCCCCAGGCTATTTGTGATTCTCAATTTAGATCTAAGGACTGAGACCTTGTATGAGCCAGGAAACTCAGTGTACACGTTACAGCTAGCTAGTTATACTTGAACCACATTGGAGGCCACACATCTTTGAACACTATCCCAGGCTCTTCTTGACATCACATTTTAGCAGTAAGGCTGCCTCTTTAAAAATGAGAAAATTCTTTTGTAATTCTTATGTAAATGTCTATGAAAATACTTAGCCAAGAGATCTCCCTCAGCAGGAAAGTGGAATATTCAAGGCTGAGGAGTGACCCATGCCTACTCTCAAGATTTGATGTGGATTTTTGAATCTGCATCATTTTCTTTTCTTTTTTTTTTTTTAATAATATGTATTTTCTTTTTTAAATATATATATATATATATATATATATATATATATATATATATATATATATATTTTTTTTTTTTTTTTTTTTTTTTTTACAGAGAGGAAGGGAGAGGGATAGTTAGAAACATCAACTAGAGAGAAACATCAATCAGCTGCCTCTTGCACACCTCCTACTGGGGATGCGCCCGCAACCAAGGTAAATGCCCTTGACCAGAATCGAACCTGGGACCCTTGAGTCCACAAGTTGACATTCTATCCACTGAGCCAAAGTGGTCAGGGCTTGTTCTTCTTCTTTTTTAAAAATTTATATTTATTGTTGAAAGTATTACAGATAGCCCCCCTTCGTTCCTCCATTAACCCCTCTTGCTCCCCCCCCTCCCTCCAGGCTTTCATGGCACTATAATCTGTGTCCATGGGTTGTGTGAACATGCATATAAGCTCTTTGGTTAATCTCTTCCACTCCTGCCTCCCTGTTTCCCTCTGAGATTCATCAGTCTGTTCCATGTTTCTATGTCTCTAGATCTATTTTGTTCAACAGCTTATTTTGTTCATTAGATTCCACATATAAGTGAGATCATTATAATAAAATCATCTTATCCTAAACTTTACACAACTGTACATCCATTATTGGCCAGCCTGTCAGAGACAAGTCCTTTAAATAAAGGATGGTCACCCAGACAGAGCTCCTCTAAAAGGAGACCTGGGCGTGCCCAGAGTGCGAGCATAATGGGCAGACCAGTCCTATTCTTAAAGTTCTGTGGTTGGGCTCACGTGGGTTGTTTTTTTTTTAGCCTTAGGTAGGTATTTCATTTTTAAACTTTTATTGAGATAGAATTGACATTTAACATTGCACTAGCTTTAGGTGTACAACATAATAATTGGATATATGTGCATACTACAAAATGAGTAACACAAGAAGTTTAGTTAACACCCTTAGCTGCAACCCATGACCCATAGTGACAACATTTTTCTTCTTGTGATGAGAACTTTTAAGATCTACTCTCTTAGCAACCTTCACTTATGCAATAGAGTGTTGTTAACTGGTGTCACCAGGCTTTACTGTGAATTCTTTTTAATTACTCTCCCAAACTAAACTAAAACAGACAATAATAAAAAAAAACCAATATGACTGGAAGGTGTTTCTGGCATTCCGTTATAGGCACAATAGACTCAAAATTATGTATTTCCAGGAAGTGTGAGTGAATGGAAACTGATCCTAATAAGCATTACCACGTGAGTATAATGTTTGGGATTTAGGATTTGAATGGGGTATAGATGGATTGGTAAGCTAAGGAGAATTCTCATGACCCTAGTATTTGGGACGGAATTCCTTATCATGCCCATGTTTAATCTTATACTCAAGTTGCTCAATTTTGGGATAAATCTAACAAGAGTTAGGTATGACATGCAAAGAGAAAATAATAAAACTGATTCAATTCATTAAAGAGGACCTAAATAAATTGATAACTTCTTACACTGTGATTGTATGTATAAGTATTTGCTTATATGTATTTAATGTGTATATTTGTTTGAAAAAAATATATATTCACACATAGAACAAGGTCTAGTAGTAAAAACACCAAAATGTTCAGATGTGTTACCTTTAGGTAGTGGGATTAGAGATCTTGCTTTAATATTTTACTGTCTTTTAATTTATTTATTCCATATATCATATGTTAAACTGTTTATGTGTTTTAAACATTTTGTGTTACCTGTATCATACTGTATATACCTTTAAGATTATATAATGGGCTTTGTTTTTTAGAGTAGGTATTCTGTAAGCTTCCTATTGTGAGTTTCCATGTATAAATAAAATCACAAGAATGTTTTCTTTCTTCTGCTTTAAAGTTACATATCTTTACCTTCTTCATCTAAGCTGCTGAAACTCTGCCCTTCTGTCAGCAAATCCCGCTTCTCCTCTTTCCATTCTTGGCTCATGGAGGACACAATCTCCTGCGATGTCGCCTTCAGGGCGACGATGGAATTGCACCGTTTTTTAGAAGGTGAGGCCTTCAGAGCTAGACAAAGGAAAAAGGAGAGACAAAGGAAGACACTTATTTTAAGGCCACATTAATATTTTATTTATTAACATTTTGATTATTATTAACGTTTTAGTAATTATTTGAGTAGCATGCAAGGAACTTTGGTTTATATCCATGAGGAAAGGGAAATGAAATTGTGTTTTGGCAATTTCATTTGTTCAAAATGACTTAACCTAAATCAGAATATCCTGGGATAAATTCGAGTTGCAAGTCTCCCCAGATTTGAAAATGAAAAGTCTTATTTGAGATGAAATTTAAATGGTTTGTTGCTAACTAGTAATTTTTCCTCCTCCAAGCAATTTTTTTTTTCCACTGCTGGGAGGAGGCTGGATGGGTGGGTAAACGCAGATGGTAAGCTAAGGGAGAATTCTCATGACCCTAGTTTTATTAACTTGGGACTGGGAATTCCCAGCCATGCCAATATTAATCTTATACTCATGTTGCCCAATTTAGCCAAGTTACTTCCGGTTGCTTTTTTCTCGTAGCAACTTCCCACTGAAATTTCCTGCCCTTTGGGTCTTTTCTAGGTCATGGTTATGTCAGATGTATAATTCACTCCCGGTGTTTGTATAACAGTATTCAACAATCTCAGGAGTGTCTTGGGAACATGAACCAAAGCAAATATACTTCCCCATCAGCCACGCTCACAAAGGCTGTGACTTTATTTCTGATACATCAGGTGGCGCTGCTTTGGCTGCAGCTTTTTTAAAAGGTGTGTTTTAACTGATTTTAAATAGAGAGGAAGGGAGGATAGGGAGAGAGAGAAACACCGATTTCCTCCTACTGGGGATCAAGCCTGCAACCCAGTCATGTACCCTGACCAGGAATTGAACCGGCAACCTTTTGGTGCATGGTTTAACCCTCAACCACTGCGCCACCCCGGCCAGGGTTACATTTACTCTTTGCTGCCATAATTCTTCGTGGCTTTCCATGTTATAGAATTGCCTTGGAGGGTAGGGAAGAGGGAAGTTGAGGCTTATTTATGTTTTGCTGTCCCTTAAACTTGATTTTGGCAGTGTCTCTCCTCCTTGAGGTTTGCTTATAGGGGTAAGTTGACAGCAGATGAATTACAATAATCGTGTGTGGCCTTGGGAATTTCAGAGAGTAGATTGCACTGCTTATCGGGGGCCTTTCCATAGGCAGCTTGCAAGAACTTAATTGGAGATGGACTTTGGGACACACAGATGAAGGAAGCATAGAGGGCAATCTCTCCACTGAAAGCAAAGGGACAGTTTATGTGTCCCATGAGGAGTCTTATCACCATTATAGTATAATCACCATCATAAATAACTTTTGTAGAGGGCTTTAGAGTTTAGAAGCCAACATTCACATTTTCAAATTATCCACATGGTCGTCTGAGCGAGACGGGGCTTTCGATGGGTCCAGAAACTGAGAACAGAAACATGACCTACTTAAGGTCACCGAGCTAGAAATCATGAAACCCCAGGTGTCTCATCTTTTTTTCTTAAATTATCTAATTGGCATTCTATTTTCTAATTAAAGTGAAGGTGGGGGGAGATAAAACTAGAGTTTGTTTTTCATTGAAGGGAGGAAATTTTCAAAACAGATCAAAATTGATTTTCATGGTAAATAAGTGGCCCAAATAGATCATTTTTCCTTATCTTCCTCGTCCTATCAAACAGTGGTCACATTTGCTTTACACATCTGAAGTAATATCCCATACACTGGCTTTTGCTTTAAAACTGTGACTACTAATTTATTTAAAAAAATGTTTAATAAAACACTAGGTTTGGGTTAGCTGGTTACTTTCTTTTGTGCCACAGCAACTCCTAGCTTTGTCTTTGGCTAAAACACTATCTGGAAGTAGGTATCCTATGTTCATTTCTAGCCTTATATCCTGCCACTCAGCAGACTCTACACCTACTGCTTTCCAGCTCACTTATCTGCCATTCCCTGAACCTACCCCGGGGCCTTTGCATATGCCATTCCTTCTCCTCCAGATGCCCTTCTCGCCTCTTTTCCTAATGAACATTGGCCTGTATTTTCAGGTCTTTGAAGATTCTTCTCTCTGGGAAGCTCTTTTGGAAGAACTGGTTTTAATTTTCTCTGTGTACCTATAGTAGTGTATGCAAAGACACTATTCACCATTGCTTTGCTATATTATAAATCTATAACATGGTCCAATCCCTGACTCAAAACAGACTTTCTATATTACTAATGCTTAGCATAGTACCAGGTATGTAATAGGTGCTCAAATGTTGGTAAATTGAATGTATTATTGTCCTAAAATCTTAGGACAGTTGATTTCTAACAAATTAATGTACTACTTAGTCCTTTCAGAAAACTAAGTTTTAGTACAGTTAGACATGTTATCTAAGTAGAGAATTTCAGTGAGATTTCTACATTATGGGGACTAAAATTTCCAGGAGAATTTATAGGAATTTGCAGACATTACATTGGCAGCATGACTCAAGTCTGGGTGAGATTAATGGATTTAAGAAGGTTAAACAGGCACTGGGTAGCTCAATTGGTTAGAGCATCTTCCCAATTGCCAAGGTTGCAGGTTCTATCTCGGGTCAGGACTCACAAGAATCGACCAATAAATGCTTAAATAAGTGGAACAACAAATTGATATTTCTGCCCTAGCTGGTTTGGCTTAGTAGACAGAGCATCGGATTTTGGACTGAAGGGTCCCAGATTCCATTCTGGTCCAGGGCACATGCCCAGGTTACAGACTCAATCCCCAGCAGGGGTGTGCAGGAGGCAGCCCCTCAATGATTCTCTCTTATCATTGATTTTTCCATCTCTCCCTCTTCATTTCTCTCTGAAATCAATAAAAATATTTTCAAAAATTGATGTTTCTCTCTTTCTTTCCCTCCCTACTTCCCTCCCCCCTCTCATATATATATATATATATATATATATATATATATATATACACACACACACACACACACACACACACACAACATGTATTTTTAAACAAGGTTAAGCAAAGTGATTTGAAAAAAAGAAACTTGAAAACCAGGTACTGTTTTCAGGTGTTAGGACAGCAGAGTTTTCACCTACAAAGTATGCTTTTAGGCATTAAAGGTTTTAATTTATCATGGTTGATAAAACATCTTGAAGTTGTACTTTCACTTATCAGTTTTACTAATTAAATTACTACTGCTTGAAATGCTGGAAGTAGATAAAAAGCCCATTCATTTATCTGATTATTAATCAAATAATGATTGAGTGCATACAGTGTGTCAGGAAATGTGCCAGGTGCTGGGAATAAATATGTATATATGAGAGCACCAGACACAGTCACACTTTTAAGGAATTCATAGTCTAGTGGGGAAACAGAAAAAACAGCTTTTATAGCCGAGGATGGTAAGTTCCATAGCGGAAGCACCGGCTAAACTGAGACCTGAAGGAAGACTAGGGGAAGGATGGTGAGAGAGCTACAGACAAGGGGACGAGCATGTGAAGAAACATGGGAATCAGCCTGGCACATCTGGGGAACTGACAGGAGCTCAGAGCTGCAAGAGCCTAGAGGATAGAGTACAGCATGAAATGAGGTGACAGAGGTCACGCTAAAGGGACTCAGAAGCCAAATTAAGGATTTTATGTACCAGAGAATACATGGACATAAAAAACAAAAAACAAACAAACAAACAAACAAAAAACCCTCAACACCTCTTCAAACCATGGAAGGGTTTAACAGGTACTAGTAATTAGCAAGAGAACATTTATATTTTGGTTGATCCCTCTGGCTGCAGTGTTGAGGAGACTAGATTAAATGGGGACAGGATTGGAGGCAAGAGACAATGTGGGAGCCATACAGGATGCAAAAACCCTTCAAAAACCAAAACCACACAGACAAAAAAAAGTGGTTGAGTTAGAGACATTGTGAAAGAAAGAAGGGGATGAACTCTCTGTGTTTCAGAGAGAGACTAGATATTGGTGAGTGACTGTGTGTGGGAGTAAACATAAGAATGACTGTAAAGAATGATTAAGAAAATAATTCCATTATAACAACATTAAAAATACTTAAAAATAAATTATGCAACTTGCAAGACTTGTACTCTGAAAACTATAAAACATTGTTGAAAGAAATCGATAGTCTTAAATAGAAAGAAAGACATCTATCTTCAAGGAGTCTTAATATTGCTAGGGTGGCAGTACACCTAAATCGATGTTCAGATCCAACACAAAGTCCTTATCAAAATACCAGCTGCCCCCCCACCCCCTTTTTGCAGATATTGACAAGCTGTTTCTAAAATTCATACAGAAATCCAAGGGACCCAGAATAGCTAAAATAGTTTTGAAGAAGAACTCAAGCTTATGAAGGACTCAGACTTCTGATTTCAAAACTTACAACACTGAAGTAATCAAGACAGTATGGTATTGGTATAAGGATATGTTAGGCACAGAGATCAATGAGACTTGGGAATCCGAAAGTTAGTCCTCATATTTGTGGACAACTGATTTTCAGTAAGGTAGCAAAGATAATTCAATGGGGAAAATGTAATAGGTGCTTTTTCAACAAATGGTGCTGGTACAACTGAATGTTCACATGCAAAAGAATGAAGCTGGACCTATCTCATACCACATACTAAAGATTAAATCAACATATGTAAGTCATATATCTGCTACATATAAAGAACTCTTATAATCAACAATAAAAAGCCAAATAACTAAAAATGGGCAAAGATGTTTTTTCTAGATCCTTTCAATTCGGCCTTTTGTGGGCACTGTATTATTTGTGTGGTCTCTTTGTTTCAACATTATTTTAGGTGGCTCCTCAGTTTTTAAAATATGGAAAAATGACAACTTTCTCAAAACATGAAACATGGAGAAAGCCACAAGGACTGAAATGTCTTAGAACTTTGACAATTATTCACCTGTTAGACAAGAGGTTTGTTAGAATAAACTTTGTAAACCTTAATTCAAAGCAGTCAGAGCATGGATGAGACTGCCCCTTAAATTGGGTTCTAGTATTCATCACTACCAGAGACTCAGTGTGTAAAATTTGTGCATGGGTAGGGTCCCTAGCGGCTGCTGGCTGGGGCCTCCCTTTGTTCCACATTGCCCCCTGGTGGTCAGCACACGTTATAGTGAGCAATCGAACTCCTGGTTGGTTGAAATCCCAAGAGGACACTTTGCATATTAGGCTTTTATATATATAGATAATAGTAAAAGCCATTTACTGAGCAAAGAAATGGGCAATGGATTTGAATAGAAATTTCTCCAAGTAAAATATAAATGGTCAATAAGTACATAAGATGTTCAACACCAGTAGTCATTAAAGAATTGCAAATCAAAACCACATTGAGATACCACTTTATATCCACTAGGATGTCTAAAACAAAAGACAGACAATAACATACATTGGGAGGATGTAGATAAACTGGAACCCTCATATATTGCTGATGGGATTGTAAAATGATGTAGCTGCCTTGGAAAAGAGTTTGGCAGTTCCTCAAAATGTTAAATAGAGTTACCATCTGATATAGCAGTTCTACTATATCAGACATATATCCTAGACATATATCCAAGGGAAATGAAAACAAATGCCCACACAAAACCTTGTACATGAATGTTCATAACTGCATTATTTATAACAGCCAAAATAGGAACAATGCAAATATCCATCCTCTAATGAATGGATGAACAAAAGGGAGTATAGCCATAAAATGGAATATTATTCAGCAATAAAAATAAAAAATAAAACACAAGATGACTAAACCTTGAAAACATTATACTAAGTAAAAACAGCCAAACACAAAGGCCACATGCTATATGCTTCCATTTATATAAAATATCCAGAACAAGTAAATCCAGAAAGATAGAAAATAAATTAGAAGTTGCCAGGGGCTGGGAAGAAGAGAGGATGGAGAGTAACTAACAATAGTTATGAGATTTCTTTTGGAAGGGTAATGAAAATGTTCTAAAAATAGACAATGGTGATGGTTGCATGACTTTGTGAATATATTAAGGATTGCAGACTTGTACACTTTAAAATGGTCAGTTTCATGGTATGTGAATTATATCTCTGTAAAGATGTTATAAAAATAGACTAAAAATCAAAATGGGAAAAAGTCAATAGATTTGACTACTTGAGAAATAGAATACTTGATAAATTAAAACATGATAAACTACACAAACTGGGAAGATTTATAACACATGCCACATTTCATGGACTTGGAAATGCTATGGGTTGTAGCATTAATTTATATATTACTAAGAAACAAACCTTCCAAGATGGAGGAAACTCACTAAAGCTGGGACACCAGGGGCCACATGGTCCATAAACCTAACAGGGCATGGGAAAGTCATGTTTTTCCAGTCTTGGCAAAGGGTAAGGGAAGGTAGAAAATCTTCCTTGAAAATTTGACAACTAGTTTCTAGTCAGTCAGGCCTGCAGGCCAGTTCCTGTTAGGCAAACAAGCAAACAAAACAAAAACCTTAGAAATTTTAATTGGTCTCAATTTGAGACCAATTTTAAGATTCTACTGAGATAGTCAAATGTGAGACAAAAGTTTTTCTTAAGACTAAAAAAGGTTAAAAAAGGATTGATATCTTTACTATGTAGAATTCATATAAATTATTTGAAAAAAATAAACATCTAATATAAATGAGCCAAAATCATAGAGCTCAATTCTCAAGGGAAAGACAAATGGCTAATAAATATGACTAATGATTGAACTTTATCAGTATTTAAGAAACACAAAATAAAACAATCAGATAACATATTTTACTTATCAGCATAGCATAATTTACAAAGAATAATTCTGGCTAAGGGCTGAAGGGTTCAGACTGCTTTGGAAGTCTACAGTGATATAATCTATCTCTGCAGTTATGTGCATTTTAACCCCCTAATCCTTCTTCTTGAGATATATCCTAAAAAAAATAATAATAATAAAAATAATAATATGCAAATTGACCACACCCTCACAAGATGGCTGCCTACAGCAAGACTGGCAGAGGGGTTAATGAGAGATAACCAAACTACTGAACAAGCAGGCTGCGTGGGGTGACCAGGCCAGCAGGTGGACAGTTGGGGGTGAACAAGCTGGCAGGAAGGTGTGTGGGGGGGGGAGAGGAGGCAGTTAGGGGTGACCAGGCTGGCAGAGAGGGGTAGTTGGGGGTGACCAGGCCAGCCAGGGGGGCAGTATGATGTGACCAGGCTGGTAGGAGGGGGCCATTAGGGGTGACTAGGCTGGCAGTGGGGGGCAGATAGAGGTGACCAGGAAGGCAAGCAGGTGAGCGATTAGGAGCCAGTGGTCCAGGATTGATTGGGCCTAAACCAGCAGTCAGATATCCCCCAAGGGGTTTCGGATTGGAGAGGGTACAGGCTGAGCTGAGAGGACCACTCCCTGTGCACAAATTTTGTGCACTTGGCCTCTAGTAATATTATAATATGTTGATCAATGTCATCCCAATAAATTTAAAAAATAATAACTGTGTCAGAAGGTTACTAGACTTGTGATAATCATTTTGTAAGATATAAAAATGGTGAACCCAATGTTGTAGACTTGAAATTAATCTATTATATGTTAACTATAATTAAAATAGGTTTAAAAAGCTTCTTTGTATAATTTCAGTCTTTAAATTTATTGAAATCATTTTTTGACTATCTTGAAGAATATTTTATGATAATGTTCACTGTTAACATTTTTATATATTCCATTAGAATTGTGTTGTACATTTAGGTGGGCATAAATCTATTAAGGATTAAGGACTAAGTGTACCTTTAATATATAATTTTATTTGTTGCATATCATTCTATTACTTAATTATATCATAATATATTTAGTTAACCAACATATTATTGGGATAAACATTTAGGCAGTTTCCAAGCTTTCCCATTACAAAAATAGGACTTTAATGATTATGATATCAATAAATACCTGACTGACTTTAATGATTATGATATCAATAAATACCTGACTGCGACACTTAATATAATTATTGATTACTGCTTCTGGAAAGTAAATGAACTCTTCCAATAAAAATCTTGCAAAGATACACATACTGAAGTCAGCATGTAAGTGCTAAAAGTAAAAAAAAAAATAAAATAAAAAAAAAATAAAAATCATTAAGAATCTTACCTTGAATTTTCTTGAAAACTCGGGAATTCATAAACTTTAGAAATCTGTCTGCATAAAAGCTTGGTCTGTGAACGGAAACAGTGTCCTGAAAAGACAAATCAGGTAGCGGAGTTTACCTCTCAGACAGTTCATTTTAAGCTCAAAGAAAGATCTATGCACTGGCTCTCTGTGGGCCAAGGCCTTAACCAGGGGACCAGAAGGTGTGGGAGCGGAGAGCCAGAAAGAGCAGTGCCTGGGTCCTGTGGGGCCCAGGACTTGGGCTGCGGGAGGGGGCACAAGACTCAATCGGAGCAAAGATTCCAGATACTCATGAGGAAATAAAGTATTAAGAGGGGCAGGTGAGAGACAATGAAAAAGGCTCTGCTTTATAAACCCAAACTAACCCTTATTCCATTGTGTGCCCTTGGGGGCTTTTCAATTCTTTTCTACAGACAGGCAGCTAGTGCCTCAAGTCATTGGGACAAGGGGAACACTTAGAATAAAAACTGGGGAGGTAAACAAGCAAAACAACCCTAATGTAAGAGTGATATCTAGGCGGGGGAAAGTGTGCTGGTTCCATCTCCCAGCAATCAGGTGCACTGACACTGGGAAGAGGCCTAGGAGACAAGGCTGACTGACAACTCCTGTGGCACTGAATTATCTAATGAGGTAGAAATGAACTGCATTAAATTGTTGACTCAATTCTCTAACGCTTGGTAGGAGTCTAGGATGGAAGGGGCATTTTATTACAAATCCAGGAAAGGGGACTGATGAAGGACGTTAATTCTGTATGTTTATTCAGTAACCATCTATTTACTCTCCACGAGATATATCCTGGGAATAGTGTATTTGCTTATTTAATGGTCCATTTTGTTTCCAGGATTGTGTATTCTGCTAAGAAAACTTCTAAAAAGGTGTTTTGATTAACCAAGTATCTGCGGTGGATCTGGAAGAGAAAACACACCTTGGACCAAAGGTCCGGAGACCTGGTGCTGGTGTGAGTCCTAACTTCACAAGCATTTGTGACTATGGGAAAAGAGTGGCTCCGTGTATCTGTTGCTTCATCTGTGGGACAGGGTGTTAATATGAGGCATGAGGTGATTCTGTGACCAGCATGTTATGAAGGACTTTGAATAGAACAGCCCTCTTTAGCCAAGTGATAATGGCCCTGTAGACTATTGGGGATGCTGTCAATGTGGTGGGAAGCATCCCACTGGTTGGACATGCGCTCCCCCCAGCATCCTGGCAGCTCCTGTCTGAGGTGGACACACATTCCCCACAAGTACAGTAACTGAGAAACATCTTAGGGAGCAAGGTGATTAAGACTCAGCTTTGCCTTCCAAGAGAAGTTGGACTGTGGCTCTCTTTGGAATGAAGATACATCTATATTAATAAAAGGGTAATACACTAATTGGACTGAGAGACCTTCCAAAAGACTTTCTGGACGTCCTTCTGAACAAAACTATGGTGGTGGGGCCAAGGCAGAGGCAGAGGCAGTTAGGGATGATCAAGCCAGGAGGGGAGGGCAGGTGGGGGTGATTAGGTCAGCAGGAGGGAGCAGTTGGGGATGAGCAGGCTGGTGGGGGGCAGTTGGGGATGAACAAGCCAGCTGGCAGAGTGATTAGGGGCAATCAGGCAGGCAGGTAAGCATTAAGAGCCAGCGGTTCCAGATTGTGAGAGGGATATCTGACTGCCCTGTGGGGGGATCAGGCCTAAATGGGCAGTCAAGACATCCTCTAAAGGGCCCCAGGTTGGAGAGGGTGCAGGCCGGGCTGAGGGACAACCTCTGTGCATGAATTTCATGCACTGGGGCATTAGTCTATAATAATAAAAGTATAATATGCTAATTAGACCAGATGTCCTTCTGGACGAAGCTTGGGCTGCGAGAGGAGCCCGGGTCCTGGGTGCCTGCTGGCAGCGGGAGGAAAGCCCAGGTCCCAGGTGCCAGAGGGAAGCCAGTGCCAGCAGCCAGGGGAAGGAAGGCCTACTCTTGCATGAATTTCATGCATCAGGCCTCTAGTTGTTTAAATCAGAGGCACATTTGTTAAAAGACATACATCTTAATTATTGCTTATAATTTCACAAATATGTAATCAACACAGAAAGTGTCTTAAAAAGATTAACACACACAAGAAGATGTGTTTTAACTAGATAATGTAGGGGTCTCTTAGAAGCATTTGACAACAGAAGACCAGGCCATTCTAATCAGCAATCTCATCTGGTAACAAGAATAACGTCATGGAAAACAGAAGGGGGTGCGAGAGAGCATGTTCTTTCTCTCCCTTCCATGCTGCAGGCATTATGGACTCTCTACTTTTCTCAGCTAAGGGAAAAACTTAAAGAAGGAATCTTTGATTTGAATAAGCAGCTTTGCTTCAATTCTCAGAAACAGACTTGTGAACCTGTTGTTTACAAGTGCATTCCCACTGACGTCATTCCACAGCCTGTGGACAAAATGCAGATTTCCTGCTGAAAGGTTATTACCAGTCTTCCTCAGAATGAAGAAAGTACGTGCGCTAGGCGAAGAACAGCGTCTATAATTTATTCCTTTTCAAAGGAAAGCATCTGTTAACAGCTTTTAAAATTTTGTGAGCAAATCTGGGACCCATATATTCTTTGGAATTTCACTTCAAGCTATTAACTGAGGGAGGCTGAGACCAGTGAATGTTCTTTCAGTGGCAGGAAGTTCAAGTCTGACATCATATAAGAACACCTGTGTGTGTAGGGGTGGGGAATGGCAGGGAATAGGGAGGGAGGGAATGGGAGAGTGAAAGAGGAGAGAGGGAGGGAAGAAGGAGGGAGAAAGAGAAAGAAAGAGAGAGAGAGAGAGAGGGGCTGCTTCTTGATAACTATATTCTTGTTCTTCCAATTCTGGTCCAAAAGACATTATCTTCTCAGCTTTAGTCATGTATAAATCCATAACAATGGAAAGGCCTTCACTTCCCATGCCCTTATTAAGTGTTAGGTACATTATTTATTAAATCCTTACATTTGTCCTATGAGGCAGGTACATGGTACTATGACTTTTCCCTGATAGAGCTAAGAAGTCAGACCAAGAGAGGAAACATAACAAGCAATGTGTCTAGGTCACATGGCTAGTCAAGTGGTGAATGTAGGGTTCAAATCCAGGGCTGCCATCAAGTTCAGGTTCAAAACCCTCTGTAGCTTGATCTTGTGAGAACTTTCAACTATCCTACTAGTCTTCCTAGCGCCTATGAGTCTCCATTTACTCGTAATTTCTTCAGATTTCACACAGAAACAAGATCTTTTTTGTTTTCCTGGCCTTTATGTTGCTACCAGACTGGATGGCCTCTATTTGAATAGCTGTTCCAAGTTATGTTATCTTCGGTCTTAGATTTGAATGAGCTGAGCCTGATTCTGAGGTTGTAAAGACTCTTGTTTCCTCTCCAAGTCTAGTGACACAACTTTTCAGACATACTTTGAAGTCTCCGAGAAATCAGAGGAATACACAGTGTAATAAGGAACACGATAGCCACTTACCCCATCATAAACAAGCGCTTTCCAGGAATGTTCTAACTTCTTCATTAGCCTAAGTGTAAATGGGCAGAAAAAGAAAATGAGAATGTAAAATCCCCCCCACTTGGTGAATTTTCAGAATCTTTTTTTGATTTTCTTTTTTGAAATTATAAAAGACCCCCCCCCCAATTTCTTACCTATATGATTGCAGAATGTCAATAATGCCCATAAATAAAAGCAGTTTTTCACCCCTATGGCTTTTGGCTGGAATCCCTCCCATTCTGTTGAGAGATCAAAAGAGAAAATATTTTGTATTATAAGATTAGGAAGTTAAAAGTCATTTCTAATAATTAGGCTGTAAATGAACTCTCTTTAAGAATTTTGGATTCTCTCTCTCTCTCTCTCCCTTCATCATTTTGTTCCTGGTCTCAGTTAAAGTTTTCCTTGGAATCCAGCATGATGTAGTTCCCACAGATCAGAGTGACACCCAAGCTGTCAGCTCTGGAGTACTGGTAGAAAGAGTACAATTTTAAAAGTATTCCTAGCTTAAAGCCATGAGCAAGAATTTTAAAGTATTTTAAAATATTGCTTTTTAAAAATGCAACACTATGAGCTTTCAAAATATAGAAAAGCACAAAGAAAAAAATGTATAAGGAATCCACGATGCAAAGATAACCTCTCTGACATCAATGTATATTAAAATATGCTCTTATTTGTTTTAGGGGGAGAGGAAGGGAAGAGAGAAATAGAAACATCAATGAGAAGCATCAATTGGCTGCCTCCTGCACATCCCCTACAGAGGACTGAGCCTGCAACCTGGGCATGTGTCCTGGCCGGGAATTGAGCTGGTGACCCCGTGGTGCATGGGATGACCTTTAACCACTGAGCCATACGAGCTGGGCAAGTAATATATATATTTTAATGACTGTAATCTTTCACTATACTGATAGAAAATAAGTAACTTGTTTAATTGATTGTTTGACATTTAGATGGATTTGCAGGCAAGGATTTCCCCCCCCCCCACCCCCGCCCAGTTTAATATGTATGAACTTTCTTTATGAAAGTGAAATATGCTTGTGGTTTAGTCATTGTTGAAGAATCCGAGAAGGAAGCCACTTACAGACAAGGAAAATGATTTCTTTCTTTCTGTCTCCTTGCTCAGCTGGTACACACATGTGATACAGTCAGCCATTTCAATAACTTTCTTTGGTTGTAAGTATTTGTTAGTCTTTATATAATAAGCTATCTAATCCCAAAGTTACTATCACATCTGGCAGTGGCGACGGACCACATCTGCCAGGGGAGTGGTCTAGTACAACAGAATCCTCTTAGGCAGATAAGAAGCTCTTAATTGGGGACATAATTCCAATCATGTATTTGCTTAAGTACATGTGTATTTAAATTCAAAGTATGATGGATGGTTGGCATATGTAGTAAATGGGGGTAAAAATATTTTCAGCTATCATTAAATAATAGAGCCCTTGCAGGGGGAAAACCAGGAGGGTGAAAGAACAATAACTCAAAGAATGGCTACCTGTCCAGTCATCCACAGAAGGACAGAAATGAAGCCTGGCTTAGGTGGGTACTGGAGATATCAAGGGGAACATTTTGTAAAGTATATGACTGTCTAACCACTATGCTGCACATATGAAACTAATACATAATAAAACTGAATGTAAAGATTAATTTAAAAAGAGAACAGAGTATGAGAGGAGAGACACCCAGATATTTCTTCTCTGTTCCCTCCACGTTTCAGCCCAGGGTTCCAGCAATGGCTGTGTCCCTCAGCCACAGTTCACTATGGCACCCATTCTCCAGGGACCGTGGGGCTCCTCCTGTTGTCCCCGCACCTTGGAGTGGTACTAGTCTCTAAGCCCCGACTAGCTATTGCTGCTTCCCTTCACCCTACCCCCACTTCTGTTAGGAGCCCCACCATTAAAGTATCTGCATTGGAAACAAACCAACAAACAAACAAAGAACTGAAACCCGGCTTAGTTCATTTCAGCATCGAGTAGAAATCTATTCCCAAAGAGCCACCATGAAGGTAACACGATTGCATTTCATCCCTCTGTGATGTGGGCGACCCCCACCAAGAGGGTTTGTGGGTGGGTGGCTGCACTTACGTGTCCGGGTTCTCTGCGATGATCCCGTCCCCTGATTTCCCTGGACCTTGGATGGATTCCATTGCTGTGGAGTAGAGAACCTTCTGCATCCCAGGCCGCTTCGCATCTGGCGCATTTTGTGCCGTGTCCTCTTCTTTTTCTTTGAGGCAATGGTCTAAGATGTGGATTCCCAGCAAAAGGCTATAGTCCATGATCTTGAAGCTTTCCAGCACCTGGATAAGAAAAAGAACCAGGAGCCCGGTCAACTCCAATGGCTTGTAAGTCTCATCTACACAGAACCAGCGAGCTCTAGCTACACAGAAACACAGCTCCTGCATCCCTCCCAGGAAGGTGGCTGATAGAGGAAAAATAAAAATAAAAATTATTAGGTCATGTGCAGTAAGGATTATCATAATGGCTCCAAGGCAGTATTTCTATGCACATCTAAAGTATGCACATCTTTTCCTAATGTTCCACATATGTTACTCTAACGGTATTTATTGAACACTTTCCCTGTGCTAGGTACTAAGTGGTTTACTTGGGTTCAATCCTCACAACTCTATTCTATTTCACACATGAAAAAAAAATAGAAGACACAGAGATAAAGTATATTGTTCAATGCCACACAGCTCATAAGTGGCATTGGCTGGACTGAAATAAAAAAAACCAATGGCCTCTACAAGTTGTGCCCTCCTCAGCATGAAGACTCAGCTGGAATATTTTTGTCCGGATTTTGCTCTCAACATCTTAATCTTGCGAGAGTTCACTGGTCTTTTCAAAGATTGCCTTTCCGAGTTGCCATTTGGTTCCGTGGCAAGTCTTTTTTAAAAATTATGATTTCAACAGAGAACATGACTTACTGCTTAATTATCCACTTGGCAAACAGTGGGGAAGAGAAGGAATTAAAACCAGTTGGATGCAGCCACAGAGATAGTGGTGTTCTGACAGGAAAGTGATGGGAAACAAGGTCAAGATCAGAGGAAGTCAACATGGCTTTCAAGTGTAGGTGAGGCTCTGACCCTTCTTCAATGATGCAGATTGTTTAAGAGGAGCACCTGAAAATGAGGTATTTTCCTGATAAAATTATTTTTCTAGTAGTTTGTATATGATTCTCCTCCACAACAGATTTTGTTGTTGTTGTTAATGCTCACCTGAGGATATTTTTTCCATTGCTTCTTAGAGAGAATGGAAAGAGGGAAGGAGAGAGAGAGAAACATCTATGTAAGAGAGATACATCAATTGGTTGCCTCCACACATGCCCCAACCGGGCTGGGAATCAACTGGCAATCCAGGTACATGCCCTTGACCTGGAATTGGACCCAAGACCCTATGGTACTAAGACGGGCACCACCAGCCAGAGAACAATAGATTTTTTAATGCCTGGCATTTCACACACAAAGCTGCTCAAAACAGCCCGAAAGTAAGACAATCCTGAATGGCGGCACAGCTGACTCTGAACATACCTGGTAATTTGTCACCTAGTTAGGAAATGCCTTTGAGGCGCAGAGTCTATAGGCACTTGTTTAACCAGCAATTGAATATCCAGAATTTCCTAGCTTCTCATTTTCCCTCAACCCAACTGCTTTTTGATCTGTGATTTATAAAGAGGGGTCAGGCCTGAGCATTTGCATACCTGTGGCTGCCACTTCATGGACCATTTGAGAGCAGGCTCTGTGAACAAAGCACACGTGGCCTTGGAAACATGGGTTATCTCTGGGCCATACATCTTTGCTGTCAATGAGGAAAATGGAAAGTGGGCTGCAAAGGAGCATCAACTACTCCATGGTTCACCCTTCATCTCTTAGATGCTAAGTTGGGAACTTTCAGAAAGGAGGCAGACAAGAGCTGAGAGGAGAATCTTATTACTGACAAGGTAATTTAGGCCATGAAACGTTCTAACCCAAGAGTCAAGAGAGTGGCGCGATAGTAATGTGGACCCAGCCTCCCTAACCTGAGGAGGAGCGCTCCAAATTGGAAGGGGGAAGAAAGGGTGAAAGGAACAGCTTTCCCCATGGTCTCAACACTGTGACATCAGACGCCCTGATTGGTTTGAGTGCCTTGCCCCTCCACAGAGTAGCACAGAGCCAAGGAAGAAGACAGGGCAGCTCTGCATCAGGGTTGCCATGAACCCAGATTCCTAAAAGAAAACATGAACAGAGACTGGATGCTTACTTCAGACAGAAACAAGTGCAAAGGGATCTTAGGGCTTTTATTAGCCATACCGAATGGACAGGTTGGGGATTGTGTCCACTCAAGAGCTCTGTAGACCTGCACAGTGATCACCACCTGCAGATGCTAATTTTCATATCACATTATCAGTGCTAGTGGTCCCTTCTTACACTGTTGGATAAGGACATGCAGGATAAAGGAGCATGGACTCTGTGACTTTTGGCAGGTCATAGCACCTCCCTGTGTCTCGGTTTCTTCCATGGTAAATGGTGAGGATGCTATTACCTCCTGCACGGGGTGTTTTTGAAAATTAAATATGGCAATGCAGGTAAAGTGCCTAGAAAAATTCCTGGCACAAAGAAAGAGCTCAATTAACTGCTAGCTATTATCATCATAATTATAGGTCATGGTGATTCACTGCTCATGCTAGTGTGAGAGATTATAGATATTAGGTTGAAATAAACACCCTGGGAGTTATACTTCTGAAATAAAAAAAACTCCTAAAGAATCCAACAAAGACATGATTATTTTTAGCTGCTTATCAGTGAATCCTGATTCCTTTAAAAGCTTTGGGTTGGTGAGTACCCAACAGTATAACTTGGATATTCAACGGGAAAAGGTCAGCTGGCAACACAGCAATTCTTGGTGAAGAGGCTATAAAATGATGGCCTCGTGATTTAAGGGAACAGTCTCCATTTTAATGAGCAAAACCATAGCCTTATGCCCTAAAAGCCCAAGCTACTGCTTGGTAAGGATTCCCTCAAAATGGTGAAATGGCTTCAAAAGCAAATGCTAATCAGAACTGGTGATGACGTGGTGAGTTCCTAACAGGCCTGGGAGCATACAGTGAAGAGTGGTATAGATCGAAAGGCACTCCTGATACCACCATACTTGTTTCATTTTTCTCCTGCAAGCTATCGACACATTAATTCTGCTTGCCTCTTTAGAAAATAATTGTTCTTATATTTTTAATTCATTGTCCAACCTGAACTGCTTTGTTTGTACTTGATGTCTCTTTTCCTGCCCAAGGACAGGCCAAAGAGAACATGTGCATTTTATAAGTGGTACACAATTAGGCTGTGGTCCAATTTCAGCTACTGATGCTATCCCAATGTTTTAAGTGGCCGAATATTTATCCTGGTTTATTTGATTAAAAAAAAATAAACTTCAAGAGTTTATTTTTATGTATGGTATAATTTAGTGATCTAGTTTCATTTTTTTTTGCACGTATCTGTCCAATTTTCCCAACACCATTTATTGAAGATATTGTCCTGACTCTTTGTATGCTCTTGCTTCCTTTGTCAAATATTAATTGCGCATTATGGCTTGGGTCAATTTCTCTGTTCTGTTGCATTGGTCCATATGTCTGTTCTTGTGCCAGCATCATATTAAGAGGCAGTTTTGAGATAAGGACATGCAGAATAAAGAGCATGGATTCTGTGATTTTTGGCAGTTCATTGCACCTCCCTGTGTCTTGGTTTCTTCCCCTGTAAATGGTAACAAGTGGCTTTGTAATATAGCTTGATATCTGGTATTGTGATTCCCTCCTATTTTGTTCTTCTTTCTTAGGATTGCTGCAGACTTTTTAAATTCCATATTAATTTTTGGATAGTTTGTTCTAGGTCTGTGAAATATGCTATTGGTATTTTATTGGCAATTGCAGTGAATCTATAGATTACTTTGGGTAGTATGGACATTTTAATGATGTTGATTCTACCAATCTATGAACAAGATATATGCTTCTACTTGTTTATGTCTTCCTCTATCTCTTTTTTTTAATGCCCTATAATTTTCTAATTACAGGTCTTTTACCTCCTTAGTTAAGTTTATTCCTAGGTACCTTAATTTTTTTTTTTTGTTGTTGCAATGGTAAATGAGATTGTTTGTTTCTCTTTCTGTTAGTTCATTATCGGCGTATAAAAATGCCAAGATTTCTGGGTGTTAATTTTGTATGCTGTTACATTGCCAAATTCATTTATTAAATCTAATAGTTTTTTTTATGGATTCTTTAGGATTTTCTAGGTATAATATCATGTCATCTGCAAATAAAGAGAGTTTTACTTCTTTTCCAATTTGATACCTTTATTTCTTCTTCTTGTCTGATTGCAATGGCTAGCACTTCTAATACTATTTCAAACAGGAGGGGTGAAAGTGGGCATCCCTGTCTTGTTTCCATTCTTAGGGAAAATGGTTTTAGTATTTGCCCATTGAGTATGATGTTGGCTATAGGTTGTCAAATAAGGCTTTTATTATGTTAAGGTATGATCCCTTTATTCCCACTTTACTAAGAATTTTTATTAAAAAAAGGGTGAATTTTTTAAATGCTTTTTCTGCATTAATTGATATGATCCTGAGAGATTAAGAAAAAGCAACAAATAAATTTGTAAAAGATTCATTTTCTCTTTACTCTTAAACTGGATTGTCAGCATCCTTGAACAGTGCCAAATTGTCTTTAGAATGTCAGGCTCCTACTTTCAGAGTGAAAAACCTTAAAAAGAATCAATTCCAATCCCATTGTATGGAAAGCACATGATAGTTAGAATTTGGTGAGGCAAAGTCATCATCCCTAAAAAAAAAAAAAAAAAAAAAAAAAAAGTTAAAGAAAAGGATAACTGTACATATATTTTAAGTCAAATTTTAAAACTTCTGTAATGAAAAATTCTGGGAACAAATTTTAGGGATGAGCATTGCAGATCTGCACCAATTAGGAACAAAGTAGTTCTGTTATTCATATCCTTCCAGTTCTTTAATTAAAGGAATCCATAAACCTTCCAAAATCTCAACATTGTGAGCTTTGAGAGCATGCAACATCCTGCAATGTGACAGCCACCAATCAATAAGTCTAGTCTGTCACTCAGGCACACATGTTGTTTTTTTCCCCAGAATTTCTGCCTATCTGTGCATTTGTTATGCAAAACACAGGTTGCAATGCAAATTCAGGTGCTTTTACATCTAGCCTGGGCAAAACCCTATTTCCTCAGCTGTAAAAATATGAAGGCAGAAAGGGTTTATATACGTATGCAAAGCAGAAAGCAAGCTGGGTACCATAATGCTTTTTATTGTC